GCAAGATGGCCGTCAGCAGCTACAGACCCACATCCTACCACTTTAGCAATCCCAGGGGAAAGAACACACCACTTTCAATCAGCTATAGCCAAAGTCCCAGGGCTGGCTCTCATTGGCCCAACTTAGGCCATAGCCCACCTATGAACCAATAACAGCAGCCAAGGATAATGGGATGTGCCGATTGGCTGGGCCCTGAGTCAAAGTCATATGCTAGGAACCAGAGGGTGGGGTCAAGTCCACCTGAACCATATAGACTGAGGGGGGTGGAGTGGTAGCTCCCTAAGGGAAATTCAAGGTGCCATTCCAAGAATGAGGGGTAATGTTTGCCAGGAAGGTGAAAACCCCTAAAGTTTCCTTCCTGAAATACCTGTTTCCTTCTTCTCTTCCAGAGCAGTCGGACTCAGGCATGTTCTATATGATCCTCTTCTTGACTGTGGTAATCCTGGTTCTGTTCCTGCTGGGGCTGCTGCTTTATTGCTGGAAGTTCAGATCAGCCCGTGAGTTCCTTCTTTGGAACCCCCACCTCTCTGCCATGAACGAGCATCACCAGAGGTGCCATATTGAGCACCTACTATGTGCCAGCCTCTGTGCTAAGCCCTTCACGTGCAGCCTGTCACTGACTCCTCACCCCAGTGCCATGAGGCTTCCCCCGCTTCACAGACAAGGACACAAAACCAGGGAGTCTTGTTCATTGATTCATTTTACAAATATTTAGGCAGTCAGGGGAAGATCACATAGTCCTTGAGGACTTTGGCTTTTAATTCGGGTGACATGGGAGCCCCTGCCAGATGGAGGCGGGGTAGAATAGTACTGAACCCCCAGCGTTAGTCCATCCACCTTGCTCGGGAGTGACCTGGGGGCGGTGGGGGGGTGTGGCAGGAACTGGCACCCCTGATCCTCGGCTCTAATAAGGGTCTGATGCTCTCACACCTCAAGGGATTCGCACAGGCCGGTCCCCTGCCCGGAGCACCCTCCCGTGGCACTTCTGGCAAAGCGATTGAGCTAAATCTGTAATCAAAGAGCTACGTTTTACGGAAAACTTTCTCCGTGCCAGGCGGTTTCTGTGTACAACCTTCCTGCATGCTCACAACCGCCCAGCAAATTCGGTCCTCCGTGAGCCCCACTTTACAGATGAGGAAGGGTTTGCCCTGAGCAGTGAAGTTATCTGACTGTCACCCAACTGGAAAGTGGCTTTTTCCATCGACGACTAAACACAACCGCCCCCTCGCATCCCAGCCAGACGCCTCCTCCTCCACGAGGCCCACCCTGACCCCCGGGAATGGGCCGAGCACCCACTCTGGGCTCTCCCACCCCAGCCTTGGCCACTCTGGGAACTTGTCTGTCTTCACCAGTGCTCTGTGAGCCCCAGGAGGGCAGAGCTGGTGCTTGTCATGGTCATGTCTGCGTCCCTAGCGCCACCTAGCAAGGGGCCAGGCACAGAGGAGGCACTCGAGGAAGTGTTTGCTGAGTGAATGTGTCAACTCCAGAGCCAGAACGCCTGTGTCTGGGCCCTCACTCTGCTGCTTCATTAGTTATGTCACCAAGGGCAAAAGGCTTCATCTCTGTGACTCAGTTTCCTCATCTGTAGGGAGTGGCGACCGTACCTGATAATATGGGCAAAGCACTCAGCATGGCATTTGGCACATTGTAAGCCACGTGCTGGGTATATATTAGCTGTGATTGTTATTGCTATTATTACTATTACTATTACTATTATTATTATTACTGACATAAGCTCCACAAGAATGGGGATTTTTGTCTATTTTATTCACAGCTATATCCCCAGCGCCTAGAATGCACCTGGCACAAAGTAGACATTTACCACTTGCTGAATACCACTACTATTTGCTGAACAGACCCCTCTTTGATAGTTGAGGAACCTGAGGCAGAGGCACAGAGAGGTTAAGTCACTTGTCCGAAGTCACACAGCTCCTAAAGGACAGAGATGGGATTTGAACCCATCCAGAGCCCATGCTCGATAAATACTTATTTATACTTAATAACCGAATGAATAATTGATGACCGGATCGTTAAAGAGCGTGCACCCCACCCCTGTCTGACAAATGTATAGACCACTGAGGGAGGTGGTGCCCCCATGTAATAAATAGCAGAGACAGGACTTAGAATTTTGGGGACCCTGACACCCACAGGTGTCCTCTTCCCTGTGCTTCCCAGCATGTCGTTCCTTCCTGACAAATCTGCCTCCTGTTTCCCGAGGTCCGGAGTGTGGCAGCCCCTCGGCTAACGGGGTAAGTGCAGTGGTGACTCTGAGGAGGGTGGGGGACCTTCACAAACCACGGAGCAGAGGTCTGCAGACGCCCGCGGCCTGGGGTCAGGGGCCTGGCTCTTGTCTTCCGAGCCCTCCTGCTGGGCAGAACGCCCCGTGGAGCTTGCAGACGCAGCCCACTGAGAGTCTGGTCTGGTGGGTTTGCGATGGGGCCTGGGGATCTGCATTTTAGTGTGGGCTCCCCCTGCCCAACCCCCAGTGCCTCACCCGTGGCCACGCCTTGAGAAGCACTGCCCGGGCTTCCAGGGAGGGGCAGGCAGGCCTGCAGCATTTTGCACGTCGGGCTTCACTGGGAAGGTTTTGTTTGATTTTGTTTAAAAGGGCCCCAAGGCTAACGTTTGTCTACCCGCTTCTAGATCATCTCCTACTCAGCTGTGAGCACTCAAGATGGCTCTCCCCAGGATACACAGAGAAATGACACAAGGTGACAGCTTCGGGACCGAATGGGAGAGAGGCTGGAGCTGACGAGGACGTGTGTCTCCCTAGCTGGACCCCACCCCAGTGGATGAAGACCCCCCTCCAAAGAGACTGGCCACCCTCCCCCGTGCCAGACCTCAGGACAGCGTGGGCTCGTGCAAGTTCGGAGGTCTCCAAGACCACCCTCGGCTTCACTCGTTCACAAGAAGGACTCACAGAGCCGGCAGGGTGGCAGGGCCCGGGATTCAGGCGGCGATGAGGCCAGAGGGGCTGCACAGAGTCGGGTGGGCAAAGGGAGATCGGTGGCTTTGCTGAACATTGTCTGTCGCCAGCCATCAGCCCGTTTGTTACACTAATAAACTCTATTTATTTATTACACCTCGTGTGGCCGTGCGCAGTGGGGTCTCTGGGGGAAATGAAGGAGAGGCAAAGTTTCATCTGAACTGTCACCATGTGGGACGGAACCAGAGATGTGGAGATGAGACCCCAAGTCAGCAAGGTCACGAGGGCACAAGGCCCTGATACTGTCAGATGCCATGGTGAAGCTCATCCCTCTCTCATTGTTTAATTAGATAGTACATAAACATCTCAAAATTAAAAGTTATAGGCCAGGCGCGGTGGCTCATGCCTGTAATCCTAGCACTCTGGGAGGCCGAGGCGGGTGGATCGCTCAAGGTCAGGAGTTCTAGACCAGCCTGAGCAAGAGTGAGACCCCCGTCTCTACCAAAAAATAGAAAGAAATTATCTGGGCAACTAAAAATATATATACATAGAAAAAATTAGCTGGGCA